GGCGTAATTTTTTAATAATTTGCTATATAATTACTATTATTTATGGACATTTGCATGTCTATAAATTACATTTCATGGATATAAAATAAATATCTAGCATGGACTGGACATTCAGTGGATATTGGGATGTTCAGTAGATATCCAAAGGATTTGGTGTGCTGTCTGGGTAGCTTTCTTATACCTAAAACTTCACACAAAATATAGTGAACTCGCTCTTTTGGTATGCCCACAACCTCAGCTACCTCTTCCAATTTTAATCTGCGATCTTTTAGAATTAGTTTGTGAACGGTTTGCACCATTTCTTTAGAAGTTGCCGTTTCCCAGACAACACACCAAATCCCAGAGATATCCGCAGAATATCTTTTGTGGATATCCAATATATCTACAGGATATCAGAAATATTCCGTGGATCTAATATGGATATCCAAATGTCCGTCTATATCCAGAATATAGAAGATATCCTAATGGATATTCAGCAAAATATCTAATGGATATCATCCAGAAAATACAAGAAATCCCAGAGATATTCACAAAATATATTTTGTGGATATTCAATATATCCAATATGGATATCCAACCAAATGTCCGTCTATATCCCAGGATATAGAAGATATTCGGATATTCAACAAAATATTTTATGGGTATATTTTAGTAGAGGTTCGTAAGTAACCAATGATTATTGAATAACGTCGAAAGAAAATAGCAGAGATACAAAATATTTTCAACACTCAAAATATTTTCAACACTCTGCACTCTGCCTTTGATTTTGTCCACTAAGGAGAAAGTCATCCTTATTATGACTCTTCAGCAATAAATGGTAATTCTCGACTCCAGTCTCTAATGGAGTCTGTAGGACAAAAATTTCGATCTAACTCTATTACGGCGGGTCGAGCATGAGTGTGGTGATATGTGTATACTATATACCTACTCCTAGAGCTATAGGGAAGGTTTGTCTTAAACATGATGAAGCATTTAATAATATCCGAGAAGCTCTTATAAAGCCACCGATCCTAGCTACCTTTAATCCAACATTACCAACCGCTTTGCATGCAGATGCTTCACGATTGAATGGTCTGGGATTCGCCCTGCTTTAGAAACATGGAGACATCTGGAAATTGGTACAATGCGGTTCCCGGTTTTTATCTGATACTGAAACGAGATACGCAATGATAGAGATCGAATTACTAGCAATAGTTTGGGCTATAAAAAAATGTCGATTGTATTTATTGGGCCTAAATGAATTTAAGGTACTTACTGACCACAAGCCATTGTTGCCAATTCTAAATTCGTATACTTTAGACATGATAGAAAATCCTAGAATTCAGAGACTTAAAGAAAAATTATGTGGCTATAATTTTATAGTAGATTGGACAATAGGACTAAATCACTTAATCCCAGACGCATTGTCTCGAGCCCCTATAAATCCACCAAATGAAGATGAACTTTTTGGAGAAGATTCCATAGTTCATGTTAATTCTTTTGTCATACAACAAGTGGCATTAATAGATAATACTGAAGAATTAACTAGAACTTCACATCTCCAAGACTCTTTGTTGGAATTTTTGAAAGAATCTGCATCTAAAGAAGACACATACCAGCAGTTAATTGCAGCCATAAAAAAAGGGTTTCCAGAGCAAAAGGACCAGCTTTACTCTTCGCTTATGCCATTCTGGAATACCCGAAATGAGCTAAGTTACAATAATGGCTTTGTCCTGAAAGGATGCCAAATTGTCATACCTGCATCTGCAAGAAAAATGGTGTTAGAGAGACTTCACGATTCACATCAGGGCATTGAGAGAACAAAACGCCGTGCTAGACAAACAGTATACTGGCCAAATATCAATAACGATATTAAAAATATGATAGAGTCATGTGAAATGTGTCAGACGCTTAGACCTTCCTTACAAAAAGAAACATATTTGGATGATCCACCTCCTACCTTTCCTTTTCAAGATGTTTCAGCGGATTTGTTCTCATACGCTGCTAAAAAATACATGGTATATGTGGACAGACTATCCGGGTGGCCAGTAATATGTCATTATGGAAGCAGGGATCCAAATAGCACAATGTTAGCAAACGATTTACGAAGAATATTTTGCGATACTGGTGTACCTCTACGATTACGTTCGGACAATGGGCCACAATTTAGTTCTTATGAGTTTACATCATTTTTAAAAAAATGGAATGTAGTTCATTGTACATCCAGCCCATATTATCCACAAAGCAATGGGCACGCTGAGGCTGGTGTAAAAGCAATGAAAACGTTAATTATAAAATGTACGAATGGTGGAAAATTAGATGACCACCAATTTTGCGCAGGGTTGCTGGAATGGAGAAATACTCCAAAATCTAATGGAATATCTCCAGCTCAAGTTTTATTTGGTCACCCTATTAGAACTTTGGTACCAGCACATCACAAGGCATTTTCGAAAGAATGGCAGGTTGCAGTCGGCACATACGACAGAATTAAAGGAATCCAGCGCGATAAGGCAATTTGCTATTATAATAAAAGAGCAAGAGATCTGGTACCCCTTAAAGTTGGATCTAGGGTTAGAATTCAAAATCCAACAAACAAATTATGGGACAAGCTAGGAGATATCGTCGAAGTCAGAAGTAACAGAAATTACCTAATAAAAACCGCGAGTGGACGTATATACTCCAGAAACAGGAAATTCATTCGAGAATATCTAGAACGGGGAGATGAGATATGAGAAAAGTTAGCGGAAAACGACTTAAGGGGGATGTGGTGATATGTGTATACTATATACCTACTCCTAGAGCTATAGGGAAGGTTTGTCATTAATTTGTATGAAGTTGTCATAACTAGAAAATAAACGAGTTTTATATTAAAGTTGTTATAATTAAACAATTACTTCAATGAGTAGATGCGATAGTGGTATCGCCATCTATACTTAGTAAGCAGAATCAAATAACATCTAGTGGATATCCACGATGGTTTGCGTTCGCGCCTAGACTTTGATATATTTAGTGGATGTTCATGGGATATTGAATACACCTTAAAAAAATTAATTTTAAATATCTGAACGGTACTATTAGCCACAATGGCGTAATTTTTTAATAATTTGCTATATAATTACTATTATTTATGGACATTTGCATGTCTATAATTTACATCTCATGGATATAAAATATATATCTACCATGGACTGGACATTCAGTGGATATTGGGATGTTCAGTAGATATCCAAAGGATTTGGTGTGCTGTCTGGGTTTTGGCCTGCCAGAACGCGAAACATCATCAGTGCTAATACGACCATGTTTAAAGTCCGCTACCCAGGTTTTAACTGTGATAAATGAAGGAGCAGATTCCCCTAGTGTAGCATCTAGTTCAGCTTTTATTTCCGTCGGCGATAATCCTTTGATACGGAAATATTTTATCACCACTTTTATTTCGTTTTTTTTTTTCATATTTTAAGAAGAGTGACGTACTTTATAAGCTTTTAAAGTTACAAATTACTTGATGCACTCACTTTAAACTTCGAGCGTATACTGACGCGAAGCAAGGCTACACAGACTCTGACAGACACGTTGGAACAGGAAAGCAAATCGGGCCTACGTACTATAGGTTAGGCCGGAAACTTTTCATCCCATCCTCGTATGTGTTCTCTAATCACTTCTCTTCATATTCAAAATCGATATTTTGATTATTGGTATCGGCATCAGAAAAGGAGTTCTACAGGTTAAATGATGGTCATAAATTTCATTATTTGTACTGTCGTTCCAAGTTTACACAACCATTTGTAACTTGCATTTGTATAAGTTACAATTGTTGAAGGAATTAAATTGGATTAAATAATTGGAAAAGAACGTTTAAAACATAATATTGTGAAATTTTCGTACATTTTGGTATTATCGTACTTATGTAATAATCGTACATTGTACAAAACACCAAAATCATCATGTAAAACGATACTTATCGTACATCTGACAACGCTGATAGATGTTAATTGCACCATATGCCTCCTTTATACAGAAAATAAAGGTAATGCAACCGCGAGCAACGATATTTTTATCTGACTTATCAAATAATACCAAATAAAATACAAATAACGGTAGTTATTGAATTTAAAAAAATACTTCTATTGAAGTGTGTGTAACAATACATGTTAACAGAACAATATGCACAGTTCAAAAAAAGGTTGCTATCTGGCAACCTTGTACGAGTACCTACTGAGACGAGATATTTTGCTCGAGGACTGAGTATTTTGCGCACGCGTTACATGCGCATCAAATATCCTTTCTCTATCATTTCTTGTTTTTTTATAATGAGGAGCACAATTAAACAAAACATTCAATTGATAAGATTATAAAACGATAAACGATTCGTATCGTAAATGAAAAGCACAAGTCAGTTAGTAAACAGGCAGTTAAAAACATAAAACATGGCTCCTTCAATTTTATCGCTGGAAAATGAAGTTCTGCGGGCATTTTTGTTCTACAGCAGTATTTTAATAGTGAAAATGATGTTCATGTCCGCATTTACGGGATCCAAGAGAATGAAGTATAAGGTATAAAACTTATTTAATATTTTTTAATTTATTTTACACACAAACACGATATGTACTTATCTAACCTTTCAAACGTAAATTCAAGGTTCATAAATAATTTAGTACCAATAAGTACCAAAACTAATTGTTTCTTTTTTATATAATAATTTAATAAGATACCGAAATACACGTTATCGTTTATTATATAGATAGGTATCTACTTTCCTTTTTTAATTGATATAATTTGATAAATTTAACAAATTTTATGAAATAACTATACCTACCTACTTAACCGGTTTCCAGTTTTGATATTTTGAATTTACAATTTACCATGTGCCGCATTGCAGCGATGCCACATTTAACAGTTTCTGATATACCGGTAAAAAACACTGATCTGTAGTAAAATAATATAGATCAGTGGTAAAAAATAAGTTCATATTTTTGAAATGATAATGAAGGGATATTTTTAATTGAAATTCAATTTTTTTGTAGGCATTCTCTAATCCTGAAGATGCCAAACAATTTCAGGCGAAACCAAAGATTGATGACAACGTCGAACGAGTACGAAGAGCTCATTTAAACGACGTTGAAAATATTCCATTATTCTTCGTAGCTGGACTTTTATATACTCTAACCAACCCAGCTGCTATACTCGCCAAGTCATTATTTTTGGCTTACACTGTAGCCAGAGTGATGCATACTTTCGTATATGCTGTGTGCCCGCTTCCGCAACCTGCTAGAGGTTTGAGTTGGTTCGTTGGTTACCTCATCACCGGTTTCATGGCCGTGAGGAGTTTCATTTACTTTATGTAATTTTTATGCAAGGTTATGTGTGTTATGTGTTAATATTTCTTACATTTTTAACATTCAATAAAAAATTGATTTTTTAAATGTTTTTATTCAAACTGCGCTATTATACGCCGACACTCGAACGGCGGATATAACTATTGAAATTTTATAGAAAGTTTCTAGACACTTTCAAACACACTATACATAAGAATTTTGGGTCCGCTGACACTAAAAAATTTTGTTTACCTTAAAATCCTTAAAAAATTTTGTCGGGTCTGCATCATAAAACCATTTTTACTAATTTCTTGTTGTAGAAACTGCTAAATATCAATATTAGACCATTCATAGAGCAATAAACCATAACAAACTTTTTCATAAACGATCAAATTTTTTTATTTTTCATTTTTAGTTTGTTAGAAAAACAAATATACAATAAATTATTTTCATTGACAATTGACGTTTCTTGTTTCTATAAATGCGATGTTGCCAAATCGAGTAAGAAAACATATACATCGGGAAATAGTTCGGTTAATGAAAGTTCACCGTAGCCGAAAAATTACGTAGTGTCTGGCCAGCAGGTGAATTTGGATCCCGAAGTGAAAACATTTGTAGTAAATCACAGACATCCGTCTTTTTTATTTAATTTCATGATGATTGTGCGTTAATTACGGCATGTCGGTACTTATCTAATATTTGTAAAAAAATACTTTTTTTTAATTTGAGCTGTGTCCAGGCCGTTGGAGGCTATGCCGGTCGGCGTAGCCAGGTATGGGTTAAAATTTTTTACAAGAAGTCGTTGCTTCGTCTTCTTATTGTATATCAATATTGACGTCGAAGAGTACTCTGTCGATGAAGCTGAGGAAGAAGATCTTGATATGGGTATTTTTTAAATCGTTAGTTCTATATAATTTTTCTGATACTGAAGTCAATTGGTTGGCCTGATACAACACAGGGCATAGGTAAAAATTACCATTGCTACACGTGTGTCTTTTTATCCAACTGTTGCAGCAACATTGGCATCGGTGCGGTATCTACCTGTCTTTTATTTCATCAATCTATCATTGATGAACTAACAGCGCTGTCTTTTTATCCAACGTTGATGCAATCGATGCAACACCATTCCATCATTTCATTTATGGTTTTTCCGATTAGATGTGACAACTGACAGCTATGGCCCAGACAACACACCAAGGGGCCCGGGCTCAAGTGGGGGCCCGGCAGCGCTATAAGGAGGGCCCGAGAGTTTTCTGTTTCCGCATGAGAAATTCGACACAACAAGAGAAGAGGTGATGTGATTGAAAGTTGGAGGAAAAGTTTTAGCTTAGAGGACTTTTTTTTTTTTTTTTTTTAGAAAACGAAAAGTTTTTGGTTAACAGTTTCACAGGGCCCGGTGTAGAGAATTGTCCCGGGGCCCCACCTGGCTCTCGGCGGCCCTCCACAGAATATCTTTTGTGGATATCCAATATATCCGCACAGGATATCAGAAATATTCCGTGTATCTAATATCTATATCCAGAATATAGAAGATATCATATGGATATCCAGCAAAATATCTAATGAGTATTTTCCAGACAATACAAGAAATCACAGAGATATCCACAGAATATGTATATTCTGTGGATATCCAATATGGATATCCAACCAAATGTCCGTCTATATCCCTGGATATAGAAAAATTCGAATATTCAGCAAAATATTTTATAGGTATCTTTTAGTAGAGGTTCATAAGTAACCAATGATTATTGAATAAAGTCGAAAGAAAATAGCAGAGATAAAAATATTTTCAACACTCTGCCTTTGATTTTGTTCACTAAGGAGAAAGTTATCCTTATTAGGACTCTTCAGAAATAAATGGAAATTCTCGACTCCAGTCTCTAATGGAGTCTGATTGTGATACAAATTTCGATCGAACTCAATTACGGCGGGTTGAGCATGAGTAGATCTGAAAGTAGTATCGCCATCTATACTTATTAAGCAAAATCAAAAATTACATCTAGTGGATATCCACGATGGTTTCCGTTCGCGCCTAGCCTTTGATATATTTAGTGGATGTCCATGGGATATTGAATACACCTTAAAAAATTAATTTTAAATATCTGAACGGTACTATTAGCCACAATGGCGAGCACAATGGCATAATTGTTTAATAATTTGCTGTATAATTACTATTATTTATGGACATTTGCATGTTTATAAATTACAGTTCATGGATATAAAATAGATATCCACCATGGACTGGACATTCAGTGGATATTGGGATGTTCAATAGATATCCAAAGGATTTGGTGTGCTGTCTGGGTAGTTTACAATAAATATTATATTTAGACATAAATATATTATTTTACTAACATTAGAAGCTTTAAAAAGACATTAAATTAATTTTTCTTTGTATTTTCTTCAGTGTTACATGTGATTTGTATCTTGTTTTACAATGTGGAACGTAGTAAATCTTGCTTTAATGTTTTTTGTCACTCATGTTACTTGTACTCAGGTACTTTTTTTCACATTATTTTGAATCTTTTCACATTTTTTTTTTAAAATCTCTTTATTTTATATTGACTTATAATATAGAAAATAAACGTCAGTGACATTCGACCTGCCAACTACAGTCAATTTAGCGAACTTTATAAAAAGAAGGACAAAAATTTGAAATTTGATCATTGCCAATTTGCCTCCTTATATTTAGTCTTCATAAGGTCTTTTCCTTTGCATCGAAAGCGTAGCACTGAGCTACACCACTTCTGAAAATATCATTCCATTTATACAAATTGTATGGATGGAACGATATTTTCAGAAGTGATGTATCTCAGTGCTACACTTTCGATGCAAAGGAAAAGACCTATTATGTTAGAATTAAAATGTATTTGTTCGATTTGTTATACTAACCGACTAAAAGATGAGAATTGACAGTTGCTAAATCAATTGAACCCCCTACAGTTATATTTGTAATTTCTTATGCTTGTACTGTGTTCCTCTATTCAAAAATCTCCTGTTGAAAAAGCAATCTCCTCCTTTTTGGCTATATTCCTACTGTTTTCAGAAATCTGGCAACCCTGGTGGCGTGTCAATTGTCAATTATTTATTATTCTTGTTTTTCATTGTCCTTCGTTTTCGTCCGTGGACGTGGACCACAATTTAATAAAATATTTATTTAATTATATAGAATGAGGTCATAGGTCATGAAACTATTTGTAGACGAAAAGCACAAGTCACTTTGATTTAGTAAACGTAAACAGGTAGTTAGATATTAAAAACATGGCTCAAGCGATTCCCTCAGTTTTATCGCTGGAAAATGAAGTTTTCAGGTCATTTTTGTTCTACAGCAGTTGTTTAATATTAAAAATGATGTTTATGTCTGTATTTACTGGATCCAAGAGAATGAAGTATAAGGTATAAAACCTTTTATTATTTTTTTATTTATATTATACACATGAACAGGATCTATAAGTACCTATCTAACCTTTGAAACTTATAATAGGGAAATGGAAATACGTTATTGCTTTATTATATTCTATAAATTTCCTTTTTTTACATTGTATTTAAACTTTATTATCTGAGAATTAATTTATAAAACTATTACAATAATTAAAGTGTGCCTATATAAAAAAATCAAACTATAGGCCATATAGGGACAATGAACTCGAGTTGACTTACTAAGGAAATTATATCTGAAATTATGAATCTTACTAATATAAAAACATAAATCTAAAAAACAATAGTATGAATGGAGAAGAGAGGTTAAATGGACTGGTCATAATAAATATATAGAGATAATTTATTGGCAAATGAAGCCTATGATGAACTTGCTAAAAATAAGAGAAGATTACTTTTAAATTAATAATTCTTGAGTATCAAAATTTATTACCTAATTCTAGTTTTTATTCACTTTTTTGTTTTTTCTAAAATGATTTATTTCTATTTACTTTTTTAATAAAAATCATATCTGAAATATTTGATTTCCAGCTCTACGGAGTAAATTATTGTGGTGACCATATAGAAGATAGGATATTATTCTAATTGGGATACTCAACATTTTAAACCTTTTAAATGTAACTATAGATAATTCAAAACAATTTCTCAAAATTAAACCTAAACATTGAGAAAACTTAGTAGCGATTGCATTTATATTTTCAATAAATTTTAACTGTTCATCCATTATGTTATGAATGGAAAAGACTGATTTTAACTATACAAACTTAAACTTTATTTACTTTAAAAATACAAAAATAAATGTGAATGAACAGTGTGAACTATTATTGTTTCTCGTTCAAAAGATTGTTAAATAGTGAGCTACAAAAAAACTATATGGCACATATCTATACATATGACGACATATCGCACTAATTCACTGCCCATTGCGAATTCGACAGAATCTTGGTGGTCTGCCTTGCAGGACCAGGAGTGGTCTTCATTCCAGGCCGGAACACATGATTAATAAATATTTAATAGAAGTAACCTGAGGTAGTAACTGGTTTTTAATATAATGTAATTTATTTATTAGCCATTCAGTTTACAGTAATTTAAATTACAAATTATTACATAAATATAAACAAGGTATCCTAATTACCTAACAGTGTTAAATTCACTAATAGCATAACATTTGAAGTAATCAAGAACTTATAAATTAGAAGACAAAACTTTTAATGGTCTAATTTTTTCTCATAACTAGGAATTAATTAAACCTTGTCTCCTGGTTGCATTATTGAAAGGAGAGGATAATAAATAACTATTCAGCACACAATGGCAAGTTAATATGCGTGTGCACTTAATGACACTTATATACATTCTTAGAAAGATATAAATCACATTTACTTAAAATTACCTGCAAATGATCTAATATTAATAGAGAAGCAAATACTGGAAATGAATAAATTTTAGGATTATTATATTTATAAAAGATAAGTAATCGAAAAATTTGTTTCAACTATCCATTGGTTTATCCTATTTTTGATTTTATGATATGACTTATTTTTAAATTCCTGTGGTAAACAATTATATACCTTAGGACCTACACAATAGATATGGTTGTGACATGCAGTTTGTTTAGGATTTTGAAGCTATAAATTTTTTTTAGCAGCCCATCTAGTATTAATACTACAAGACAATGCTTGTTTAAAATAGTTTGTTTTTAACATAAATTTGATTATCGATTTCAAATAAAGTTGATAAGGAGATAGTAAATTACTATATAAACCAGTTCGATTGAATATATTCTGTTTTTAAAAAGCATAATTTTAATTATGTATTTCTGTGCAATTTGTAACTTAGAGACAAGTGTACTACCAGCATTACCCCAAACAACTAACCCATAGTTTATGATTGATTCTACAAGACAGAGATAGACAGCTTTTAAAATTTTTGGAGAAAGAATGTTGTGTATTTCA